ATGTGGGAGAGTTATTGCTTTCTGGTTGTCAAACCTATTTTTTAAAGCTTTCCACAACTCCACGGGGTTTTTTACATTTGCATAATCATGCATCAGATTTTCATCTAGATGCTTTCTTAGAAAAATTATCGCCTTTGCCTTTTCATTGGCAGGTGATTCATTTTTCTCTTTTATCGTCTCCAATAGATTCTGCGAATCTAAATGAAGTTCCACATCAGTGGTCCATGCTATGTAATTTGCTCCAGTGATTTGAAGAGCTTGGATCTTAAGCTTTTCAATGTTTGTCATTTGTTTTTTAAAAATAAAAACATGGAATATTATTAGAAATCTTTATTTAATTTATTTTAAAATATATTTAAAATGAATCGTTTACATTAATAATGCAAGCGATTACAAAAAGAAAAAGCGTACAAACAAGTAAACTAATGTTCAAACGAAATTCTTGCGGAGTAAAATCTACAACGCAAAGATTATAAATACACAAAATAATTATTCCAAAAGCAAATATTAAAAGTAATCGAAACATTCTTCAAAACTTCAAAACTTCAAAATTCTTCTTCTTTTTTTTCGGAGAGAGTTTTTAGAGAGATGAAAAAATTTTGTTTTGATGAAATGAATGAGAAAATGAATGAATTTATAGATTGAAAAATACTATTCCTAGCCGTTGGAAAAAGTTGAATTTTTAAAAAAAATTTTGAAATTTTTCTTTGAGACCGTTGGCGGAAAAAGATTTAAAAAAAAATTAATCTGAAAAATTAGACATCAATCAGATAAAAATTATCGATTCGGATAAAAATATTTATACAGGTGAATAAACCATAATATAAACAAATAATTCACAGTGATATTATGGTGACGAATTATCCACATAGAAACAGTAAATATATATGTGGCGGCTCAGCCGACCGGTAGCAGAAATAAATATTTAAAGCAGTGCATAAAATTAAGGCGGCTCAGCCGACCGGCAACAGAAATAAATATTTAAAGCAGTACATAAAATTAAGGCGGCTCAGCCGACCGGTAGCAGAAATAAATATTTAAAGCAGTGAATAAAATTTCAGGTGGCTCAGCCAACCATTAACAGAAAATAATTAATTATGGTGCATGAAGTAACATATATATACATATATAGTTTCTTTTATTTATTTATATAATTTTCTTTTCTCTTTTTTTTTTTTTTTTTCTCATATTTTTTCTTTTAACGAGGCGACATACCGCCCGGTATAATACCGTATTTTTTTTCAGCGATCATAGAGTGATCGTGCTGATAACGTGTTATAATAATTACTTTATTTTATGGTGTATATAAATATAAATAATGGAGAAAGAATTTATACCCTCAGAAGGATCGGGATACTGAAAATAAAAAGATGAGAGGAGGAGAGAGATTTCTTATAACTTCTTATTGTTCAAGTATCAATTGTAATTTTACAATGAACGTTTAACGTTCTATTTATAGAGAAAAAAGTAAGTTACTATGCACGCATAGTGACGGTGAGCTCCACACATTTTACGTAAACAATTGCGGCTACCTGACTTCTTTGATTGTGGCTGCCTGACTTCTTTGACATTTGTAACAAATATAACATTATCAACTATAATTCCACAACATTATTATCGCTCTAAATAATATATTAAAGATGACAAAAAATAATAATAATAATAATATATTAAAGTTAAATAAACTTACATGATATTATTTTTTGAGAAATGGTCTCCAATAGCCCTAAATGAAGTTTTTATGACAAAAATAGCATCTCCTAGTTTATTTGACAAAAATAGCACTCATTTATTTTTAATTTAATAAATTTAATAAACAAAAGGAAGGGAAAAAGTATTTCACGATAACTGTCGTCACTCCACGATAAGGCGACGACGGAGACGATTTCAGGTGATAGCTGCCGGCGACAGAGAGAGCTGCCGGCGACGGAGAGATCTGCCGCGACGGAGAAAGCTTCACCTATTTTCGAACTTCAAACTGGTCTAAATGGATCTCTTTCACCAATTTTTTTTCTTCTTCTTCCTCAATCGTGTTGACGAAATTAGACGTTTATTGTTGAATTAATTATGGCTTTCTATTGTGGAATTAGACAAATTGTAGGTGCGTTCATTGATTCAGCACAAAGAATTATGATGTGTCATTGTTCATCTCTTACCTTTTTCATTGTTGGGCTTGATTGCATTAGAAATCTTAAGTAGATGAGACTTGCAATTGAAAACTATTGATAAGTAGATGCTTTACGAATTCTGAACAAAGAGAGAGTGGTTTTGGTATGTAGATGATTTACATATGATATAAGGTAGATGATATAAACATATGATATATGATTCAGTCAAAGAAGCTTACGCTCGTGCTAAATCGGCGAAATCTCCGACGAATCCACAAGCTTTTTTTATTGAGGAAATATCATGTGTTTGGAACTATGTCAATCTAAGATTGTAACGGATTTGTATTTCGTGATCTCTAGTCCTGTCCTTGTTTTTGTTTATATGGTTTCTGGAGTTGATTAAATCTTGTTGGTGAATTAAAGTTTGGATGATGAAGACGAAGTTTGCATCTGCGAGGAACTTGACGATTTGGTATTTGGAGAACTTGAGGTAAGCAACCAAAACTTCTTATCTCCATGCATTACCATTAATCTTATAAGTTAGGATCTATGTGACTAGGCCTGGGCATTCGGGTCCGCGGGTCGGGTTCGGGTAAAACCCGATCGGGTACGGGTATGTCGGGTATGGTAATCTAGGACCCAATAGGGTAAACTGAAAATAACGGTTCGGTTTCGGATCGGGTATGGTCGGGTTCGGGTATCAAATTTCAGAACCGGTAAAAACCCGAAAAATTCGGTTCTTGCTTGTTTCGGGTCGGGTACGGAGACTATCTCATTGTAGAGTTTATGAGCTGCAACATAGTTTGAAGTAATGGAGACTATCTCATTGTAGAGTTTATGAGCTGCAACATAGTTTGAAGCTGAAAGAACCAATGTGGACTTATAGAAAATCTCAAGAATCTGAACTAACCTTTCAACTTTCTCCCAGTCATCTCTCACAGCTGGTCCAATCCTCTTTGTTCCATCCTCTTTTTCCTGAAAGTAATCATTATATGGTTTATCCTCAGCCTCCATCCTCTCAAATGCTACACGGAACTTTAGAGCTTGGTCTAGCATGAGATATGTCGAATTCCATCTGGTCTTGACATCTAAAGGTAGGCTTCCCCTTTGCAGCTTCCCTGTTTCAACTCTAAAATCAAAAGATTTCAGTCTAGGTGTCGAAGACCTCACATAGGTGATGCCATTGAGAATAGCAGCCACACAGCTATCAATCTCTGTTAATCCTTCCTTCACCACCAAATTCAGAATGTGAGTAGCACACCGCAAATGCAAATACTCACCTTTAAGTATCAAAGCTTCACTTCCATACACCCGCAGCATTTCTTTCTTGAATTTGGTCATAGCTGAACTATTGGCTGTAGCATTATCAACAGTGATGCAGAATATTCTCTTTATACCCCACTCAGCTAAACAAGCCATAAGAGTATCACATATTGTCTGACCCTTATGATCTTCTACATGCTTGAAGCTTATTATCAACTTCTTCAACTCCCACATATTATCAATAAAGTGAGCTGTTACTACCATATAACTAGCTGAAGTATTGGGACAAACCCATATATCTGTAGTCAATGACAGCCTCTGCTTATTTTTCTCGATAATCTTCTTCATGGCAGCTTTCTTAGTGACATAAACCTCAACAATCTCTCTTGTAGCTGTTCTCCGAGAATGAGGCTTATACAATTGAACTTTGGAACAAAAATGTCTCCAAGCTAAGCACTCTATAAAAGCTAATGGTAACTCAGCTAAAACTAACAGCTCATTAGATGCTTCTTTAAAAACTGCTTCACTGACCTTACTAACCCTAACACAACCACCAGGACCATCAGGAGTTAAAACTGTTTGAGTTTGATGTATATTAGCACTTTTCCATACCTGGAATGCCTTGCAGGTATTTTCAATATGCTTCTTCAACGTGGAGGTTCCAGACTTGGTTGGACACGCTAACTCTTTCCCACAGTAATTACAATTACATTTGTCTGCAACCTTCTCTTTTCTGGTGAAATGATCCCAAACCCAAGACCTTGCCCTCTTAGTTGACTTACAACCACTACCCACTGCCCCTGCATTGTCTTTCCTCTTGTTTGCCTTGCTATAAGTAGGAGTTTCAAACTCTTCGTCTGTCATATCATCTTCATGGTCCATTGGAACATTTTTATCTTTTGGTTCATCACAAGACGCCATCTGCAACTCAACACAATTCAAAGTCATTCACAATTCAAAGACAAAAAAATTGTGTCATTCACAATTCAATGTCATTCAAAATTAAAAGACAAAAACAAATGAGTGGCTGTCACAATTCAAAGTCATTCTGAATTCAAAGACAAAAACAAAGTATTAAGACAAATAAGTACTTTTCTCTTAGTACTTATCAGAGAGAGATCATGGACTAGTGAAACCGGAAATTACCTCTGAACGGTTTCTCGATAAGGCGGACGGTGGAGAAGTGACCAGAGACGGTGTGGGGTTTGTCGTTTGAGTTTCCAGGTTTGAATCGAAAATGAAAACTGTGGTAAATGATGATTGATAAAGGAGAGAGTAGAGAACTAGGGTTTTTAATCGGCGGGAATAGAGGAATAGAGGAAGCGAAGAATCGGCGGGAATAGAGGAAGCGAAGAAGCTAAATCGACAATAGGTAAAGTGGGTTTGAGACTAAAACCTAAGCTAATCGGGTTTTCGGTTTACACCATTGGGTATCGGGTAAAACCCGAACCCGACCCGATACCCACGGGTAAGTAATAATAGAACCCAGCAGTGTAAAACTTACATACCCGTACCCGCCCCGAACCAGGTTTTTCGGGTCGGTTCCGGTTCGGGTACTCGGGTACGGGTTTTTTGCCCAGGCCTATATGTGACATTTATGCAGGCTGGAGAAGGCACTAGAAAGGACATCTCAGTTTCTGTGCCACCAAGTGATACATGTTCAACGCCTGAAAAAGGACAGGGCAATTATTCATTATTTTTGCCTCCTGCTCGAGATTCTGCTGTGATTTCTATAGGAAGTACACATTCAACGGCTGCACATGAAAATCAGAAGGTAAAATCTCAATTTCATAGGTTTTAGGAAGGATACATTTAATTTTAGGATGACCTTCCTAAATAATGCAATATACAGATATGATCCGAACTAGTCGTCTTTTTTTTCTCAATTTGAACTGTTTATTCATATGCCTATCTATTTTTGGGTTTGTAGAACCTCATCCTTAAGTTGGAACTTCTTCTATCTCTGCTGCACATGAAAACCAAAAGGTAAAAACTCAATTTCATAGGTTTTAGGAAGGATACATTTAGGTTTAGGATGACCTTCCTATATACTGCAATATACATATATAATCAGTTTCTAGTCTTCTTTTTAAAATTGTAACTCTTTTTCATATGCCTATCTATTTTTGTATTTGTAGGAACCTTATCTTTCAGTTGGAACTTCTTTTATCTCTGCTGCACATGAAAACCAGAAGGTAAAAACTCAAATTCATATAGGTTTTAGGAAGGATACATTTAGTTTTAGGATGACCTTCCTAAATACTGCAATATACAGATATGATCCGTTTCTAGTCGTCTTTTTTTCAATTTTAACTCTTTGTTCATATGCCTATCTATTTTTGTGTTTGTAGGAACCTCATCCATCAGTCGGAACTTCTTCCATCTCTGTGCCATATAGTAATACATGTTCAACGACTGAAAAGGGAATAGGCAATAAGTCATTGGATCTGCTTCTTACTCCACATCGTAGTCCGAACACTATAGGAGGTGTACATTCAACACAAGGTGCTGATGATATATATATTAATAAATATTTCATGAACAAGGCTGAGTTAATGCAGAAGATGAGGACATGGGAGTTGGAGTATAAGTTTGAGTTTAGGTATCGATGGTCTAACAAAGAGAGAGTGGTTTTGGTATCTGTAGATGATAAATGTACTTGGAGGATGCGTGAAATGAGGGTAGACTCTTCTGATTTCTTTGTGGTGAAAAGTATTGTCATGAGCACACATGTGACACTACACACAGAAATGAAAATCATAGGCAAGCTACTGCGAAGTTATAAAATCTCTTTTTATGTCATGATGTGTTTCGTGTTTCATAGAAATATATACGTTCGTTTGTATAAGATCTTATAATTAGAAGCTTGGCTCACTGGTTACATGTTCTATTACAAAAACAATAGGTCCCGGTTATGAATCTTGGTGGAAGTAACTATTATAGCTTTTTTTTAGGGAAGACCTTCCTGAATATGTATATATCCTTCCTGAATATTTGGAAACCCTTCCTGAATTTCAAAAATTGTTTACTTTTGCATAATTTGCCTCAAATCTTTCACAAATTGCACAGTTAAGATGCAAAGGATATGCTGAGAGCATACAACTGAGTGGATAATCTGTACGAAACATATGGTATCTGACAAAATACCATACATTGAATATCTAAACAAAACATAAATAGAAACTGATGATACTTTTCTAGTTCAGAACCATCATAGAAGTACCAAAACAGTCTAAAACAGTTTCACAAGCATCATACATCCAATAAAGAAACATAGTCCTAAGAAATCTTAACACACTCATTGAAGATATCCACAGCCAACTTGTTTCTGATGTCTTCTGAATCTATATCATGCAGCTTGGAGAAATCTTCAATTCTCTGATTCTCTGAAACTCTGTAGGAGAGAGGATCTGTTGTACTTTCTCGATATACTCATATCTTGCACATTGATTTATCCCAACATTTGAATTTGGCTCCTGTCCTATATTGTACAGAAACTTTGGCAGTGTGACATCTGTTGGAAACGAATCTCCCATTTTCCTGCAATTAAAATTAAAGGAAATCAGTAAACAGATATATTCAGGAAGACCTTCCCGAATTACTATAAGTCCTTCCCGAATCAGGAAGACCATTCTAGAATGCAAACTAAAACAACTCTATCAAGCAAAGAGAACAGACAATAACACTACAGAAACAAGTAAAGAAAGTTTATTCATATCTTCATATCACAAACTTGAATCTATAACTATGTGACGATATATCTCTCAAATTGTGACAAAAAACTAAACTTATCTAAAGTGATAAACTAATCTGATGCAAACTAAGATTCACAAAAGCCTAAATCTCATTATCTCAACCATCAAGAATGAAACATATTAAGCTATCAAATGTTAGATTTAGTTCAATCAACAAGAACTAGAAACTAAAAACAGAACGCTACACCCATAAACACCCACCACCGCCTCCTCGGAAGAAGCAGAAGGTGAATACAGGAAAGACGGTGGAGTTTTTCATTGAAACTGTGAAAATTTTTAAAAGTACTCACTATAAAAGTCAACACTTTCCACTAATTCACACTCTCCACTATAAAAGTCATTGCTTTGAACTAAAACCCCACCCACCATTATTGTTTTCATTACCTTGTCCACAAGAACACTAAAAAAAAACTCACGAAACTGCTACTACAACAATACTGTATTTTTTTTTAGATTCTGAATACATTCCCAAGAACTAGAAGATAATCATAGTAATCAAATCTAACAACTGGAAAATCCAATGACATATACTATAGTCAATACACAAGAAGAAACCACGGGAAGCAGAAGACTAAGAACATGAAAACTGAGATTGATTACAAAAAAAAATCTTAATCGATTTCAACTTATCACAGAGAGATGATTAAAGACTAGAAACTCTCCTGTATGAAGTTCAAAGACAAAAGGATTCAACTTTTTGTAAAAGACCCACAAAAACCAAATCGTTGGAGACGATTCAAAACACCAAAAAAAAGAGAAATTGAAATACAAGAAGAGATAATAAGAACTTACAGGAAACCCTAGAACACGATGAAGCAGAGAGAAATGAGGAGAATCAGTGAGTATTGGGTTGGCGAAACAGAAAAGAACCGAGAGTTGGCGAAACAAAGAGGAAACCGTGAAGAATTGGCGAAACAGAGAGGAACCGTGAAGGATTCCGGCAGAGGCGTTATAGATTCCGGTGGAGGCGACGAGATTCCGGCGGAGGCGACGAGATCGTTGGTCGAAGATGAGAATTTTGGGTGCGACCGACGGAGGCGTTTAGGGTTAGTCTCTCAAATTTTCTATTTTCTGTTTTAATCAATGTTTAATTAATACTTTTGAGTGCTATTTCTGGAATTTATGGAATATGGGGCTATTTTTAGAAGAAACAACTTCTTTGGGGCTATTTGTGTAAATTGCCCTTATTTTTTTTGCTAAAGAACTTGATACAATCAAACATTATCAAAATAATTCAACAACATTAGAATAAAGAAACTAGTACGGCAATTGTATGATTGATAAAATTAGGAAACTACATTATGGAAAAACTATTATGCCATTTTGTTAATTTATAAAATGATAATATTTATGTTTTGTTCATTTCTGCGTCCGAATATAACGAAATAAAATTACAATAGATCAAGCTTGTTTGGTCAATTTAGTATATATATTTAGATGTTACGTATAGAGATTCAAAGCCAATTACATCAATAAAAAGATATCTAAATACTTTGGATGATGCAAATTAAAATAGTTTTTACTCTATAAGGAGTAAGGACCATTACCATAATACCTAAAGGATAAACCATCCGTTTAGGAAAACAACCTTCCACGCAATTATTTGAATAGTTAGGATACTCGTTTTATTGTCTGGTTGCTTTTTATCACCTGATCATCAGTTTTTGCCTTGTGACTTGTGAGCGTCAGACGAATAAAAGATTTACGCATAACCAACTAGTGATACTGTTATTACTTTATTAGATCTCATTGGCTCTTTTCACACGTGCATGATATAATGATTTGCAAATAATATTTTATAGACAATGGAAATACATTAATCGTTAGACATTTGGATTGGAGATTTCTTTCCTGAATGTTGAAACCATATATAAAACTCTGCTTGTGCTTGATAAACATTATTTAAGAAATGTTATAACATTATAGATCTCAATTTTCTTGACAGCATCTATGTTACAATCAAAAATATAAAAACGTAGATATATATTTTAAAGCAAGACAGAGAGAGGGTTACGTATAGCGTGTTAATAATGTTTGGGGACCAACCTGGCTGCAAGATGACGAAGCTAATGGCTAATGGTAAAGAGACCTATCTACATTGACATGCCTAAAGTCTTACTTACATTATTGACCTAAAATTCAGAAATTCACCTAGAGCCAAAGATAATGTGATTAGTTTTGTGGCGCATCGTCATGGGCTTATTCTGTTATTCACATGCCTCTTCAGTTTTTCATTTAAATCCAATTAACATCTTGATAAGATACATACATACCAGCAGTTTATGAAAAATGTTTAATGGAAATTTTCAGATATAAATTATTAATGCCAAAAAATTTTACTTGATGAAAAATACCGAGTACGGTAAAAGTTTTTTAAAATTAACATATATGTGTAAGGAATTCATGTTGACTTATTAACTTTAAGATATGATGGACAGATTTACTTATTTTGTGTTAACTTGTGGAAGAAAATAGTGAGTTTTAACACTAAAAATGTCTTTGAAACAAAAAGATCTTATAGATTTATTATATTATAAATAAACTATATACATATTTTAAAATCAAGAAAGTAAGAGACGAAAATGTCTGATTGGATTATATTGTGATTGTGAGGCATTCCTTTAATCCTTTTCAAAACTTTTTTGGCAGTATTAAATACTTAAAAGATATATTTATAGATGATTTTATGCATATACAATTATGACATGTCTAAGTATACAGAAATTTTGAAAAACTTGTTTATAATTAAAAAGCTAAATCATAATTTAAACTACTTTTTAGACGCATTGAAATTTTTGCTGGTTAAATATTTGAAAAAATTCTTAAAAATTTACAAAATACATATTAGTATCATATCGTAGGACTTAAAAAATCATATTATAGATGAAAGTAGAAAATTATATTTTATTTATAAAAAAAAATTCTAATGAAACTAACATATAAAATTAATAGATATGTGTTATATGGAGACAATGCCGAATAATTTTTTGAGATTATAATAGTAAGAGAATGGGAAATAATGAAACATATAGTATGTTTCTCTATTTTTAGAACACATAAATACAGAGACTTATCCGCATTGAGATCAGACCCCGAATATTTGGTGAAATGTGGTCCCCTCCTCCTTTTGTTTTCGTTTTCTTTTTTTCTTCCATACTTCTTTTTAGTATTTATTTTCATTTATTTTTAACTTTTTCCTTACAAAGATAACATAAACTAGTAACTTTCCCCCCCCCATAAATATGATATATTACAGAGATTCTGATTTTACTTCAGAAAAATATGAGATTTCTTGGCCAAAGACTTTTTACAAAACTTGTGTTTAGTTATACTGACTTTTGGTTCTTTTGTTTTTTTACTTTTTTCTTTTCACTTACGTGTTTAAATTCTTTATTACTTAGTAAATGTGAAAGCTACTTAACATAATAGAATTTCTGAAACTAAAATAATTCATAGTGGTTTTAGTAACTCACAAAAATACTAAAATGTTGCTTAGGTATGCATAAAAAAAATACCACATTTCTACTTGATTTTTTTTCCTACCTAGAAGATCAACAAAGTCAATTTTGGCCTATATTACCTAGGGTCAACAAAATATTAAACCACAATTGACCAAAAAATAAAAAATATACCCATAGTTTTTATATTATTAGTTCTCTCTCCTCAACTTCTGTAAGTTGGACAAAAATGCCCCTCCGCATATAACAAATTAATTAACAATATAATAAAATAGTTATTGACGTTTTTTATTTGATTTTAAATAGATTGTCCATCAAATATCTGAGTAAGAATATCTAATGAGTTAAATGATTATCTATTGGTTTAACACGATAACAAAATATATATCAATAAGTTTATAAATATATCGTGTTAAACATATTGTATCGCGGTAACTTTGTAATTGATATGATAAAGTTTATATTATCATAGAAAATATTTATGGTAAGATAGTAGATATATAGATAATATTTATATTAACGTGTATAACGATGTTAACATGATAACAATAAAAATAACAGGTGTTACTCTATTTATCGATAACTATAGTAAAATCAAACCCAGAAAAATGTGCCAATGACGCCGACGATTCCTTTCTTTTCATCGATTAACCTAATCTAAACTACAATTGACAAATTCAGTTTTCATATCTGTCTCAGTCCACCACTCTGTTTGTTCTAACTTCACGACACCATCCATTTCTCCCCCGTAATTACCGCAACAGATATTATCATCATCACCACAATACAACTTTTAGCCATCACACCTTCTCAGTTCTTCTTTCATCTTCTTTTTTTCTATACTTACCGCCACCAACAATGTCATTGTTAGCATCATCACCGGTAAATCTCATCATCGTCAAATCAGAACCACCATCAATTACCATTATTTTTTATCGCAGAAACTTAACCAACCTTCGCAAAAACACAAAACAAAAACTTCCCTTATCTTCATCATCGCTAAATCAAAAGCACTATTGTCATAGGTGAACCACACAAATTATTGGTTTTGCTTTTCGGTTCTCTGCAGAAAAAAGTCTGATTTAATTTTCATTACTAAAGTTGTGTTCTGGTGTTTGAAGAAGAAAGAAATAGAAGAAGAGAGATAAAACATTGAATAAATAAATCAAGGGTGATATTGTATTTTACATATGGACAGTGAATGCCAAATAGTAACGAAGAGAGAGAACTAATTATTCATTCTTCTATGGTCACAGATTATAGATACCCTATTAACCTAAACGTTTTGCTATATTATCTAAAAGGGCTAAAATGAAAATATCAGACAGCTTGCAGGAATTGATTAAGAGAACAAACAATATAAAAATAAATTAAGTAAGTATATAAATAGAAATGTGAACGAAAAAAGAAAGTAATTTAAAGCAGAGAAGCATCATTAACTTCTTTAATCTATGACACGTTATAGATATATAGAAGCAAAAGCACTGACATTTGACAGCTAAGAGCATCTCCAACCCACCTCTATATTTGCCTCTAAACTCTATTTTAGAGGCAAATTTACTCCAACCCACCTCTATTCCCACCTCTAAAATAGAGATCTCTATTTTTTTCTCTATATATAGAGGTGAGAATAGAGAATCTCTATTTTTTCCTCTATAAATAGAGTTAAACTTTTTAGAGGAAAAAATAGAATAATACATTGGAGTAAAAATAGAGAAAACTTACCTCTATTATAGAGATAGAGATAAAAATAGAAAAATACATTAGAGATGGTCTAAGAAAAGATGATGACACCATTAAAGGTTATCCATAAGATACTCAGAGAAGATTAATTGTTTGAACAAGTCAGAATCTTTTGAACAGTGAATTTGGTTGATATTTTCAAAACTAAGTAATTATTATGTTGAGATTTTCATAAAAATATGCATTTTTTCCATAAAGATATTGAAAATTGGCACTTCTAAAAATTTATTATAGAAATAAGAAATATTCAAACTCAAATCTGGAAACAACCTTATAAAACAATCTTGAAACACATAAAGCTGTGGTTATGTATCTCTGACTTGTAATTTCATCACATAAAGCTGTGGTTATGTATCTCTGACTTGTAATTTCATCAGAAAATGTTTTACTTCATCAGAAATGCTTACTCTTCGTCATTATTGCTTTTCTTATATATCCCATAAAGATCTTACGGGAATCAACAACATAACATTACCTTATTACCACCAGTTGTTACGCCGAGGAGTTTACTATTACAGAGATAACATCAAACTTTTGTATATTTCCATCTGATAAACTCACGGGATGTTCTTCTTATGGGCAAGCTCTCGTGCCATCTCTCTTAACTCCTCCGGTGGAGGAGGTCGAGGTGCCTCTTCAGGATAAACAACATATGAACGCTGCACAACAAACAGCCAAATTTGGTAGGGTTAGGGAACGGCTCCATTGCACTGCAAAATCACCATTGCAGACTGCTCGGTAGAGAGCTTAAGACCCGGAAAAAAACCCGACTACCATAATTTGAGATTGTATATGTTGCAGTCATTTAAGCGCAGACAATTCGATAACAGTCAAGTAACAATGCGTGTACCCATTTTAGCAAAACCATTCAGGTGATACACACAAAATGGGTTAGGCAAATCGCAAATGCCCTCTGTTGAATTGCAAAACCAACACTGCAGACTGTTAAAAGCCCGGATAACTCACTGACTAGGATTGAAACTTCGAATGAAGAAAATGAAAACTATGATAAACCAACATACGAACGCTGCACAACAAATAGCCGAATTTGGTGGGTTAGAGAATGGTTCCATTGCACTGCAAAATCATCATTGCAGACTGCTAGGTGAAACCAGGAAAGAACCCGACTACAATCAAACTGAGATTGTGTAAGTTTCTAAGACCCTATTAAGTGTGTTTCAGTGACTTAAACGCAGACGATTCGATAACAATCAAGTAACAATGCATGTATGTATTTTTGTTACCAAAAAAAAAAAAAACAATGCATGTATGTACCTATTTTAAAATGAACATCTTAGCAAAATCACTCAGGTGATACACACAAAATGGGTTAAGAAAATGGCTCCCTTGAACCACAAAACCAACATTGCAGACTTGTTCTATCTATCAAACCGGGAAAACTCCCCTGACTACCATCGAAGCTTGGAATGAATCAATGAAAACAATGATGAAGAAGCATTGACAATTCAAGGGGATTGAACCATAGCTTGTATGTTTCTGGGATCATAGCAACAATGATTTAAAAAGCGACAATGGCGTTTACCAAGTTAAGAGTTACCATTCAAAATCACTAATTGAAAACCCCATCGCCTAATCCACAAACGGATCTTAAAATTAGAAATATTACTCAGAATCTAAAATTCTGAAAATGAAGCATGATTCTGCAAATCACTGGTAATAGTAATTTAACCGCTGCGAATAAGTGCGTTTAGAGTTACCATTCCTGATTTGTAATCAATCTAAAGCCTATCAGTGATGATAATTTGTGAAAGAGAAAACGAGAGAAAGAGGAAAGATTATTTTTACATTGCCCATGAATTTCTTGATATTGGTACTGTTGTTGGCGAATGTATACATAAGGACGATCGGAACAGCGACATAGACACCGAACTTGACGATCTCCAGAACCCCCTTCGATGTTCCAACAGATGACATTTTTCCCCAAAGCGAATTTCTACAGTGTCAAAGAGAGATCAGCTTTTGAACAACAAATGCTCAGAGCTTTTAGGGTTTATCGATTAAGAAATTTGGGAATCGAATTTGATGATGAACATTAGTGGAAAACGGGCCTATTTGGGCCTCACTAAACTCATAAGGCCCCCAATTATATAGAGTATAGTCTTTTATATTCGTCCAAACTCAACGTTCAATGAAATTGACTTTTGGAGATCGTTGTGAGTTGAAGAATCCAATCTCTTGTTTCTTGTCTTGAGCCGAGATGGGAGGTTGTATCTCGGTCTCGGTGTCATGTGATCAGTTTGTGAATCAGTTCTCTCAATGGTTATGCGTTAGAAGAAGTTATATTCACAGCCTTACCGAGAATCTAGCAGCTTTGCATAAAGCCATGGAAGTGCTCAAGACAAAAGAAGATGATGTGAAAAGAAGGGTTGATAGAGAAGAGTTTATAGGGCGTCGTCAAAGGATTTCTCAAGTTCAGGTATGGCTTACAAATGTCGCGAGTATCGAAAAAAGGTTCAATGATATGGTTAGTACTAGAGAGGTTGAGATAAAGAGGTTGTGTTTTTGTGGGTTTTGCTCCAAAAGTTTTGGAAAGAGCTATGGTTATGGGAAAATGGTTAGCTTGATGTTGAAGGAAGTTGAGAGTCTCTCTTCTCATGGAGAATTTGATGTGGTGACTGAGGTTGCTATGGTAGTTCAAGTGGAGGAGATGCCTATTCAATCTGTAGTTGTTGGTCAAGAGACAATGCTTGAAAGGGTGTGGAACTCTCTTATGAAAGATGGATTCAAGATTATGGGTTTGTATGGAATGGGTGGAGTGGGGAAAACTACGCTTCTCACGCAAATCAACAATAAGTTTTCTGAAATGGATTGTGGATTTGATATTGTGATGTGGGTTGTCGTGTCTAAAACTCTAGAGATCTATAGGATTCAAGAAGATATTGCAAAAAGACTTGGTCTTTCGGGTGAGGAGTGGGACAAAAAAACCGAAAACAAGAGAGCCGTTGACATACACAATGTCCTTAGGAGAAAGAAATTTGTGTTATTGTTGGATGATATATGGGAGAAGGTGAACTTAGAATCGGTTCGAGTACCGTATCCAAGTAGAGAAAATGGAAGCATAGTAGCATTTACCACTCGTTCTCGAGATGTTTGTGGGCGTATGGGAGTCGATGACCTGATGAAAGTTAGTTGTTTGGAACCTGAAGAAGCTTGGGATTTGTTTCAAACGAAAGTAGGAGAAAACACTTTGAAAAGCCATCCGGACATTCCTGAACTTGCAAAACAAGTCGCTGAAAAATGTCGTGGTCTACCATTAGCACTTAATGTCATTGGAGAAACTATGGCATGCAAAAGCACAGTTCAAGAATGGCGTCACGCGATTGATGTTTTAACTTCATCAGCCATAGAGTTTTCAGGCATGGAAGATGAAATTCTTCCGATTTTGAAGTATAGCTATGATAACTTAAATATGGAGCATGTCAAATCATGTTTCCTATATTGCTCTTTATTTCCTGAAGATTATGAGATGAAAAAAGAAGAGTTAGTAGACTATTGGATATGTGAAGGATTTATAGATGTAAAAGACGGTAAAGAGAGAGCGATAAACGAAGGCTATGCGATAATCGGTACCCTTGTCCGTACATGTTTATTGTTGGAGGAAGGATGGAAGAAAGCAGAAGTGAAAATGCATGATGTGGTTCGTGAGATGGCTCTATGGATATCATCTGATCTTGGAAAGCACAAAGATCAATGTATTGTGCGAGCCGGTGTTGGGTTACATGCAGTACCGGAAGTGAAGAATTGGAGAGCTGTGAGAAGGCTGTCGTTGATGAAAACTGAGCTTCAAAACATATTGGGTTGTCCTACATGTCCTGAACTTACGACTCTCCTCCTCCAAGAAAACCACAAACTGGTAAATATTTCCGGAGAATTCTTTCGATTTATGCCTAACCTTGTAGTATTGGATTTATCATGGAGTAGTAGTCTCATTGGATTACCAAACCAAATATCAGAGTTGGTCTCCTTGCGATATCTTGACTTGTCATATACAAACATAGAGCGGTTGCCGGTTGGTTTACAAGAGTTGAAAAAACTAATACATTTGAATTTGGAGTCCATGAAGAGACTGGAAAGTATTGCCGGAGTATCTAAGTTGTTGAGTTTGAGGACATTGAGACTACAAAAGTCCAAAAAGGCTGTAGATGTGAACTCAGCGAAGGAGCTACAACTCTTAGAACATTTAGAAGTTCTAACCATAGATATCTTCTCAAGTTTGGTTTTGGAACATTTGTTATGCTCCCAGAGATTGGCGAAATCTATTCAATATGTAGAGCTTATAGAGGTTGAGGAAGAATCATTCAAAATATTAACTGTTCCAAGCATGTGTAATATCCGTCGAATTGGCATATGGAAGTGTGGAATGAAGGAGATAAAGGTCGAGATGAGAACATCATCATGCTTCTCTAGCCTTTCCAAAGTAGTTATAGGACAATGCAATGGTCTAAAGGATTTGACATGGCTATTGTTTGCTCCAAACCTTACTTATCTATATGTTCGTTTCGCAGAGCAACTAGAGGATATAATCAGTGAAGAAAAAGCTGCAAGTTTTACAGACGAGAATGCAAATATTATCATTCCTTTTCAAAAACTAGAATGTCTTAGCTTATCTGATTTACCTAAGCTGAAGAGCATCTACTGGACACCCCTGTCTTTTCCACGTCTGAGTGAGCTCGCTGTGCAAGAACATTGCCCAAAGCTGAAAAAGCTTCCATTGAATTCCAAGAGTGGAACTGCGGATGTAGAACTTGTCATAAAATACGGCGAAAACAAATGGTTGGAAGGTGTTGAATGGGAAGACAAAGCCACTGAACTCCGGTTTTTGGCTACCTGCAAACTGTGGTAATCGTCTAATCTATGAACTTTTTTTTCTTCAACCTTTCTCTCTTATCTTTGTAATGTTTTGAAGTGTTCACTGGCTTTTACGTATGTGACCATGTTTGTTTCTTCGACTCACATGGAACTCTGCTAAATGTTCTCGGCAAATTAATTACTCTAAAACTAAAACATTCACAACAAACCACCATTACTTTGTTCAGCAATTACGTTATTAGACAAAAGCTTCATCATCTTCTTCTTAACAACTTTCTCGAACTCAATTCCTGATAGCGACAAAACCTGGTTCAACAGCAGTCTCACTCCACTTCTCTTCACCAGCTCGTATCTCGGCTTGATCCTCTCTTGTAAACTGTACCCAAAAAACTGCGGAAACTTAACGAGCTCGGATTTCGGATAATCCATTGTCTGAAAGTAATCCCATTTCGGCATGAGATTCTCTTTCAAGCTGAAAGTGTACAAAGCTCCATATCTAGAGATCATGATCCCAATCTCATCTAAACCAAAACCTTTTTCCAAGAAGAACTCTGTTACAGGCTTCAAATTCGACTCTATGCTTAATCCAAACGTTTGGGGACATCGATGTAGGAGAACCGCAACATCGACATTTAGCGATCTAAAGTACTCCATAGTTGGACGGAGCTTGTCTTCGACACTGTAACTCATGATGTTAGGACAGCGGGTTAGGATTCTCCCAATCTGTTCTTCTGTGAGACCGGTTTGGGATAAGAACTCAACAGTTGAAGTAAGTTTCTGGCGGCTGTAAGTGAGGATTGCTGGGAAACGGTAAATGATCTTTGCCCATTGATTCTTATCAATGCCAAGTGTCTCAAGAAAGGCCATTGTCGGTTTCAGGTTATCGGTTAAGCTGATTCCGCAGATCTGTGGACGTTTGCAGAGAATTGTGGGGATATCTGATTTAGGAATTCCAAGGTCTAGAAGGAATTCAACAACGGGTTTGATTTTACCATCGAGGCTGTAATAAGGAAAAGCAGCAAACTTGCGAGTAATCGTTTTGATCTGCTCTAAGTTTAAACCAAGGTCAAGAAGGTAAAGAGTCTGAGGACGTAATGCACCTTCTGTGTCTAGTTCACTAACCCGAGACACGGCTCTGAGTTTCCGAGTCTCTGCAGCAGAATCTGTGTCACCACGAGGTGGTGAAACAGGAACTGAAGATGAAGCAACAAGTCTAGTCTCAGCTGGTGGATCAGGGTAGCTCACAACAAGCTCAGAGAGAAGATCACCGTGTTCTTCATGAAGTTCTTCGAGATAAGGAATGAGAGAATCTCGAATCTCAAGAGTAGTAAGCTCTCTTCCTGTAACACAATTCAAAACCAAAGAACCAAACTTTTAAACTTCATGGTCAAGCTCTTCTCATTACACAGTAAATATTCAAAAGAAGAAAGATCGAACCTACGAGATACCGTGCTTTATGAACAGAATGGAGTCTAGAGACTAAATGATCAATGAATTGATCAGATTTATTGATTAAGCGAGAAGAGACACTGTTGCTAAGACCTTGCTTCTTGAAGAATAGAGTTAAAACAGCTTTAGCTTCTTCTTTCTCTGCTGCAATCAGATTTGGAGGTACAGGTCTTGGACTAAACTCTACTCTATTCTTTAAACGAACCCCTAATAGAAAACATCATCATTACCAAAAAAACAAAATTGTAATCTAAAAATTCATTTCTCCAATGTATCGTTTTGATTCACTCACCATTTGTTTCTTGTCGAAAAGACAATCTTCCCGTAAACCAAAGCTGTGCCCTGGTAATAACTAACCTAGTACTGGGTTTTTCTCTTCTGGCGACAAGGAAAATCTCTGAAGGTCCAATTTGACTAAGACTTTGCATTGTTTCTTGCTAATGGAGTTGATATAAAAAGCTAGGGTTTTGATGCGAACAAGATAGGGTAAATTAGCAGAGGAAGAGAAAGATTTTGTGGGAGAGAGAGGAATCAAAATGAAATTAGCGACTAACCTTGTGGATGGTGTTACTTTTGAGGAGAAAGATTACAATCGATGAAGAAGAAGATTCAGCTTGGACACCAGCGAGAGAGCTTCTTCTTCACTGAGAAGAAGAAACTGGGATTTTGAAACGACATGATTGGAGGAGACGTGAAGGTATAAAAACTAATAACTTTCCAATTGGTTGTTTGAGATTTCGTAGTTTTTGTAAGGCCCATTGGGCCCAGTTAGTCATATCACATAATATCCTATGTTGAGTTTGATCGAGACTGTTGTTGATTTGTGAATTCGAATTATGGTCAAGCAAGCATTGATTATTGAACCAAATTTCTAATTGAACCGGTAATGGTTAAGATTAGATTGATTTATCGGCTTCGGTCTTCGAGAGTCTCTGATGGACAAAAGCGTCGCCTTTACCTCACGTTGTCGATAGTAACCAAAATTCAGCAGTTCTGTCATCATTGAAAGTGAAACTTAAATCTCCAGGTCAGTTCTTTTTTTCTTATTCTTCTAATTTTTTCTTAAAGCTTAAGTCCCCTTAAATCCATAAAGATTTTAGTCGATTTTGGTGTTGTTGTAATTGGAATTTAGAGATTTCAATTAGGTTTGAAATTGGTGTTAGAAATTAAGGGACATTGGATTGATAAGCATGTTTTCTGGGTTGATTTGGACATTTAAATGGAGGGTAGAAGTTTAATCTTAGTTAGATTAGTGTTTTTGTTCCGAGAATCAATTTGGAAAATGGATAGCGTATAACTGAGACAAGTGGTATAACCGTAACAAGTGGTATAACTGTAACAAGTAGTGTAACTAGTATAACTGTTAGAAGTGATATAATTGTATAACTGGTAATCTTGAAAAAATTGTTATAAATGGTATAACTGGTACAAATGAGAAAAGTGGTATAACTGCTACAAGTCATTAGGGTTAATGTAGATTTTTTTTTTTCCAGGAAAATGAGCAACCTTCCGATAAACATATTTTTTGATTATGAAGGATATTATTCAAATACCAGAGATAAGTATCCATGGAATCCAAGGGAAGGTAGGTTTTACGGTATATCGTTTAGGAAATCATCAGTGGAGGAGATAACTTATTCGGGATTAGTGGATAGGATATGCAAGAAGATTGGGATAGATGAATCTACGACAAAGCTGAAATTGAGTTATATTCCATTGGTAGTTAAAACTTATACACAATCATATATTTTGAATGATGATGATGTATATGTTTTTTTAACCTCGTTGGATAAAGAGCAATGTAGAAGTGTGTTGCATGTAGAAGTCATCAATGATTTGGAAATGGCTCTGTTAAACGAGCAACATTCGAGAATAGAGAAAGGAAGTTCAGTTGGTGTGAACTATGGTGAGCTGATTTCAAATGGTAGAGATATTGACAGTGTTAATGTTGGTACCGTGAAAACAAAAAAACGTCGCCTAAAGCATAAGCAAGTTCCATGCGGAAACTTGGAGAGCTGGTTTCGGAGCCAGAGAGATAGCCAAGATCATAACCAAAATCTTTGATTATGTTGTTTTAAGTACTCTTTGGTTTTGTAAAACTTTGTTTTGTAATGGTACAATACAACTATGTATATCTTTAATTTCATGTTTTTATGTACTTTTTGGTTTTCAAGTTTGTGCAAAATATTCTAAATTTGTGATTTATTCGAATACGAAGGGAAGATGTCGATTTGGGTTTCGGATCTGGTTTTGCGACGAAAGAAAAAAAAGACAAAGGGAAGATGTTAATTTCAATAAAGGGGTTTGACAAAACTTAGGGATTGAAGTTATCGACCCGATTTCAAAAAATTCATGTATTTTTACCTGTTTGCTCTGGTTGGATCGAAAATTAACATTTAACTCTAAACATAAGGGGTTTTAAAGTCTTTCTCTTATATTTCGATTTAAACAAAAAAAAAATTGATTTTTTTTTTTTAAAAAAGGAGCATTTGAGCAAAAATTTGAGGATGGAGAGCTCCTGAGAATTTGATCCAACTTCCAAGTCTGTCCTAGTTACAAGTTACAACTATCAAAACAAAACTAAAGTTGTATTCTTCAAACATGAGATAGGAGATTGCTAGATTCCGTTCTTGGCCGATTGATCTGAACATTCATCGTAGGTTTTTTTTTTCTGAATACTGAGTCTCTCATCTTTTGAACATCTTGGACCGATTGATCTGAACATTCATCGTAGGTTTTTTTTTCTGAATACTATGAGTCTCTCATCTTTTGAACATCTTGGACCACATGTAGAGAATAAAGAAGACGAGGAGCGCAAAAAGAACCACGTGCATTATGTGGTTGTTGCCGCTACGGATTATGCTCATGTTAAGTTTCCTTATGTTGTTCTTCACCCCGGCTTGTGCTCTGATCAATGTCATTTGCTGTCACACACACACAAAAAAAATTGATTCCGACAACAGCATTTGGTCCCCTTGTTTTTTTGCATCATAGATGTATAACAGCACATAATGCAGTCTCACGCAACACAACCTAGTTGATGGTTTTTAGGTAACAAAAAGAAAAACTGGAACGAACTAAGAGCAATGTACATATTCAACATCATACTCTCCTTAATAAGGAAACCGGTATAGATAGACTCAATGATAAGCTGAAACCATTTCCTGGTGCATTCACTTAACTAGCCGAGGAAGAAGATATCTATTCCTACCCATCAGAGTTCAGACGAGGCCCTGCGTATAACTCTGAACATAATCTAAACTGTGGATTTATCAAGATTCATTGGTTTGTAAGCTATGTTCAATATTTATCTAACATACGTTGGGAATGAAGCTGTAGTTTCCCAAATAATGAACACAACCATTTGAAACAAGTTAAAGGAAACCCTATACGGATATTCTATATTTGATAAGTGATTCGCCTACAATGTAAAGAGTAAATTCATGTTGCTGATGTAAAGTGATTACATTCAACTTTACTGTGATGGATAAATAAAGAACTTAAGCGACATCAACAACTCACCAGTTCGTCTAAGAAGTCCCTCTGAAACTTTGCTTCTGACCCAATTTCTTGAGCAATCTGCATAAAAATATGTGATCAATGGAATAACCAAAATCATAAGGCATAAGTTAATGTGAAAAATTTAAGGTAAAAAACAAGGAATTGTAAAGAATGTCAAAGCTGATTCATTCAAGAAGTACGGCATAAAAGACATCAAATAAGTGGAATTTAATTGGTAAGTCAACTAATTTAATCATAGACTCACTAATGAGTAAACATATTCACACTATCATAGTACTCTGGAACAAAAACTCCTATACAACTAATTTACCAAAGTTCCAGCCACTTTCGAAACCAAAAATCTGTAATGAAAACGCAGACAAAGGAGAGTTGTTTGCGATTACTTGACACAGACCCTCATCAACTAGCCATAGCAATAACAAAAAGAAAAAGAAGACAAATTTCCCAATCCATTTGATCAACTTAATGCTCAAAGACAGAGCCAAGAGCCACTAGCATGCAATTCATCACAATACATTTGGCAATCAAAAACGAGAGAGAATTGGGAATTTAGAGGGTTTCATACATTTTTCAACTGCCTGACTTGGCCATGTAGACCTGTGATCTCATCATCCAGGTCAGAGTGCATCGGATCAATCCTCAGCTGGATTTCTTCTGAACCTGCAGCATTTCTAGTACTAAGCCCTTCTCTGCAGCCACAAAACCCAAAGCAAATAGAGCTATTGTTTACGCAGAATTTACCAAATATAGGACCATAAATCCCTAGTTTTCTCTATCCAAAAGATCAGAGAAAGAAATCAAAATCAATTCCAAAACGAGAAACTGATAATAGACCTATACCTGGATCTGTACGGAGCGGCTCCACCGTAAAGGGAACCACCCGCACCGCCTCTGTGAGGATTTGACGCCATCGACGCGAAATCTAATCGGATCTGCTGAGGTTTCCAATCGAACGCGAATTGAAATTGGGGAAGAACAAAGACGGATCAATTTTCGGGTTAATGGGTCGGATCTAGTCTTTTAATTTAAAAACGCTGCGTTTCTTGATTAGTTGTATTGATTCGTATACACGATTAGTTGTATAAGGAGAGAGCTATCGACAGTTAAGATTCTTTAACCAAAATTTTAAGTGAACCGGTAATGGTTTATATTGGTTTATCGAGAGAGTTACAATTTATAACTATAATAGAGAAAGAGATTTTGAAAGAAAGAAAAAAAATAGAGAAAGATCATCTATAAGCTGTGTTTATTCTATAATCTTTGGAGTAAGAATACTTTAGTCGTGAACCTCCGGTTTGTAGAACTCTTGATGATCTTGTAAACTTGAGATAGTGGATAGCTAGACTCTGTTCTCGCCGAGGCATGGGATGCAATCACACGCGTATCATTCCTCTCCGTCTTTGTTCCAAGTGTTCTGTTGGTATGTCTCCTCAAGTGCGAGTGTCTTGATCGTAAGCAGAGAGAGAGTTGAGCTTCCATTGCAGCTGAAGATTGATGCAAGATACACAATATAGACAAAGGTTTTTTTGTTTACCGTGAGGGTCTTATAAACTCTTTCAAAACTGTTCAACCTGGAATCTGGTGTTTTGCTGGATTTTCAACGGAGTTGTCCAACTTCTGATCAGGAATATCAACAATTTTGGTGCTGCATTCTTTTAAATTAGCTTCTGAAGAAAGAAATGTTTGCTTAGAAGGAACACTAAATTGATGAAGATTCACAGGAACCTTCACCTGATGACATGTCAACAGATTTGCTAGCTTCTTCTTCAAATCTGCTGCAAGCGCAGGATTTGTTAGGAATATATCCAGCGACCGAATAACTCCTTTTCGCTCAATTTCTCTGAATGCTGACGTCAAACCTCTTACAATAATATCTCGACTGCTTATGTCATAAGTTTCCACAAGATGAAGTACGAATTCAAGTAAGGAGTGAGTGATGTGTGGATACTGTGGTATCGACCATACCATCAAGAGCGCAGCAGGTTCAACATTCATAATATTATCGAATCTTTCGTCAAAGAAGAGCCAATCGTAAAACAGAGCCAGCTTAACACTTCGTTCGATGTGATGATTTTGCCTACATAGTTCCAAAAGCCAACCTATAATAGCCCATCTTGGCATGATCTCTGATCTGATGATTTCGTTAGTTGGGTGAATAACACAGCAAACGAATCTCACTATGTCGATCAAAAGCGTTTCTTTCTCAGGACCCAAGAGAAACTTCTTCAAGAACCACATCTGATGCCGCTTATGACTTCCCAATTTCACATTTCCAAGCAAAAACCTTAACTGTGTTTCCATCTCAGGAGTTATTCGAAGAAGGAAGTATCTACTTGAAGTCTTCAACTGGTAAATATCAGAGCAATGGTTCGACACCAAATCGTTCCATATCTCTCTGAACTCAGAGACATGAGACAGATCCTGCAACAACAGGATAAGGTCCCGTCCGATCTTCATACTTAAATGAAGCTGCTCTCTAAACATTTTAACACAGAATTTGATCTCCAATCTCTTCACATTCTCCAGTTTCGCAACACCTAAAACCCTATAATGATCTGCTAATAACCGAAGAAAACTATACAGAGCACTAGTTAACATCAAGGGCATATCTTCCAGCAAACAATCCCATTTCTCAAGAAACAAACTCACCAATTCAGAACAAAGCCAAACATTCTGATCCCCATAATCCCCACTGCCAATTCGTCGTAACAACGACACAAGCAAATCCTCAATCCCCACACTTGAAACATCAATCATCTCCTTAGTTACCCAAATAAGCTGAATCTTAGCGGAATCAACAAGCTTAACATGCAATTCAACAACGATTCCAATAAGTAAACTAGTGAAAAACGCATACCCATCAGTGACGAGAGCATGTAAGTGCTTGATATGGGTTTTAGAGTAATTGGGTTCGCATAAAACTCCATAGACGATGGCTTTATTGAGCTCAAGATACTCTTGTGGCTCTGGGATTTCTAAGGAAAACGGTGGTCGTAGTTTCGGCTGGAGAGACTCAAAGGCTTGACGTATTGACAGTTCGAGCTGGTTCTCAACTTCGTGTAGAGAGTCACGAATCAGTTTCGATGTAACAAAGTGGTTCTCCATTCTAAGAGAATCGACTCTAAAGGATAGACGAGAGAGAAGAGACCATCATCATTGTTTTGTGACATTTGGGGGAAAAAAACTTAGGGTTTGGTTTTCAATTTTGACTTGACTTTTTTTTTTTTTTTTTTTAACTTTAAGGTATCAAAAATACACATTTGGAATGGAAATGGTTAAAATAGGCCTTCTCTCTCTTATCTCTCTCAAATCTTCTAGAGAGAGAAAGGCTTCTTTCTTCGCCCTCCGGTTAAATTTCGGCTTCTGTCCGACATCTTTTGGCTATTATAGTTGTGGTTGGTCGGCTCTTGTCTGGCGTCGTTGGCTCCTTTAGCAACGTCGGCCAGTTTTCTCTCCGGCATCGGTGGCTCCATAGCACCGTTTGGCTGGCTTTCATGTCCGGACGAGGTCCGATTATGTAGTTTATTTCGCTCTCCGGTATACTATCTAGTTTTGTCAGGGCTATTTTATTGTCGTGTTTTTAGTTTGCTTATATAATCTCCAGAGTTTTAGTTCCGGTGATATCGTTTTATACGGCTTACTTCTACTCCGGATTATGTTGTTGGATCTACGGGTTACAGAGAATTTCATATATGGTTGTGTCTTAGTGATGAAAAGAAGATTTGTTCCTTTACATATTTTAATTGCCTTTTAGCCGCTATGTCAAATTAACGGAGCTTCAATATCTTTGCAAATCGGTGAGAAACAAATGAATCATGTTCGGATTTTGTTTTTCCGACGACGATTTAATTCACCGGAAGTTTCAAGCGTGCGGAGGTTGGCGTGTAAGAGTTTTATCTCTTCTCTGGCATCGTGTCCTCTTCTGTTCCACTGGTTGACACGTGTAGAGATACGCTTCAAGATATTTTCTCACGAGCAATAACTATAGAGATATTTACCCTTTACCACACTTTTTCAAGTTCTCTTTCACTCACACATTTATACCCTCTAAAACCAATCTTCCTCTTCTTCCTTACTTTCACCTACTTATCTTTCTTCTTCTTCCTCCTCGATTCTGATCCATAGCAAAACAAACTCTCTCTCTCTCTCCTTCCATGATTTGTACCGCCTTCCTCTCTCCATCTCTCCATCTCTCCATAGCTTATTGGATCAAATCCTCTTCTCGATGATGGCGGCGGCTCACCGGAAATCGGTGGTACCGATTCAGCAAACGGATGGGAGAAGCTTCTTAAACCATTTGATATGGATTCTCTCAAGAATTCATTTCATAAGATCACTCCTTTTCAGCTTTGTAAGCTACTTCAATGGAGTTGTTCTCATAAGATCTAGATTCTCTCATCTCTAACCAAAGTCTCGTTTCAAACACAACTCTAATTGAAACAGAGCGTGTGGCTTTGCATACTATGGATTTGTATACGAACGTGTCGGCCAAATTATGTTTATTAATAATACCATCCATGACATTGTGAACAATTGTTCGCTTCGACATGTTCATACTATCCATATACTAGCCTACTGGATTCGAACAAATGGATGACTTAAATAACCACCAGCTTGAAAAAACACAAATAAAAGTTTTGGGTAACTGTATGTGCTTGGTGAAGACCATATGTATTGTCGGCTAATTGAAAATCATCAAGACTTGTTGCAGGCTTGGGACACCATCACAACCAGCAGCACCATTATGGATTTAAGGTTCTCTAAACATTTTCAGATCATCTACTTGGATTCGGCCATAAACACTTGTCCATTTTACCATAAGCACTTGTTCATCGTAGTACTTACGAAAGTTAATAACACCGAGATAGTCAACATACTTGCCATCATCCATATATACAATCTTTGATGGATACCTTACTTGTCATGTTCTTCTCTTTTTTCAAGCTTTGCATTCACCTTGTTCTTCTTCTTCTTACCCTAATTTTAAAATCCAGAAATATCCACCGAAATTGGCGGATGTATAGTCCACCGAAAAACTTTATCATTATTCATCCATATGGTCAGAGTTTAGCGGATATGTTTGGATGATCAGTAGTTATAAATATTGGTATAGTATGTTTGTTCAAGTACCTTTTAATATCCATTTAGTAATAAACAAATGTTCAATCGAAAATGGATAATATGTAATATAATTATTTACTTAAAATATAGCAACAATGGATCTTAAAATGTAGGAAAAATTAAATCTTAATTTATTATATAAAAAGTATACAATATATGTTATGTTAAATAACTAAAATGATAATAAAAGAAAATAAGAAAAAAAAAGAAAAAAGAAAAAAAAAAAAAAAAAAGGAAGAAGAGAATGAGAGAAAGATAAGCGACGGGAAGGAGAAGAAAAGAGGAAGAGTTTGCTAGGGGTATTTTGGTATTGATAAATGTTGAACAGTTAAAAAAAGATGAAAATCTTAGAATGTGTGTGTTTTGTTACGAAAGACAAGAAAAGTGTGGCAAAGTATAACTCACCCATAACTATATGGACTTTCTATTGGGCTTAATTATATCTCGTAAACCCTTATAATTTCTTACGTTCTACTTTTTGGATGCTTTCTATTACTAAGCGTGAGCTGGGTTGATGATGGTGAACAAGAAGCAATCATAATCAAGCATATGATGGATGCGATGAGATCAGCTGCAAGCTTTTAAGCTTCAAGTTTTGGTCTTATTGGGTTTTGTTATGATTCTGCTGTCAACAAGTTACCATTTCACTGTTGTTCCTTAGTAATAGAAAATGTGTTGTACTTTCCATATGTTTGTTAGGTTGTACATGTTAAAATTTTGTAACTTACTCTTGTTCCTCCATTTTGGATTCTCCAATGATGAATGATGCAGTCGGGATGATATATAAAATGTAACCTTTTGGGAAAAAAAAAAAAGAATGGAAATGGTTCCTGCGATTTTGATATTGTGAATGATGAGCTGGCATAAAAGACTCTGACTCAACTGGCGGTTT